TATACAATGGTGTAACACTTTATCATCTGAAACATCGAGCATTTAAATCCTACTACGCACTGTACCCTTTCCCTCAATATAAAGTAGGTATTGTATCGAATCCATTGGGTTAAAAAGTCTCCAAGAGGTATAAAACACGACGAGTATGTATAGTGTATACCTATTATCTACGCGACTTATACTGTATAGGTTTCATCCAATATGTCGTGTTAAACGGTCATGTATTAAATTATGTATTTAAATTGAATAATAATTCAACTGACAACCCTATAATAGAATTTTAGAAATGGTGCAACAAACGTCATCAAAAGGCAAAAATCAACAATGTACCTTAACGACATAATCTAATCTGTACAGTATATTCGTTAAAATATGTAAAAGTATTTATGACTAGGTGTCTAAACAAATTATAATATTATGTTGGTGTCTAAGACTCATTCGTATGATCTAAAAATAATGTCAATATTTTTTTATGGACAACTAATTGTGGCACCAAAATACCAAATAGTTATAAATTTTAATTTTCTATATACCTACCTTTATTTTCCTTATATAATGACGCTTGCTTGAAATCAATTAGAATACGATATTGTTATTTACATACTCACAAAGAATTTATGAATATTTTTTAAAGACGTAGTACTCACAAATTTTGTTCCATAACTTAATGAAACAAAGAAATAAACTATAAATATATTTATTGTTTATGAATACAAGTCTATAAGTCATAATTCAGCTGCAAGCGTAATAGTATGAAAAATAAATACCAAACATCGCGCTAACAATATTATCTTGATTTGTAATAAAAAATGTGCATATTTTTTTTTTTTATTAAACAATAACTTGCAAAGAAAATTAAATTCTAAAATTAAAAATATATATTTAAATTATCCACACTTACAAATATTTCAAAAATAGGTATAAAAATAAATTATATTATGACATGTTTATTTCTATATTATTTGTTTATTAACTACTTATACTGAGTTAAGAGTAAGTACAGAATACATAATAGTTAACTAGAATATCACGTATGGACCATGGACGTATGTAACAAAAATAATTTAGTACCAACAAATCAGTGGCGTGGTGAGGCAGTTTTTATTTTAGCCAACTCCGTTGATTTTTAGGGGTTGGTGGTGTTAGTGGTGATGGTAGATTTGTAAAATGTATTGCTTCTAAATTGGGAACTTGAGAGTTGAGAAATAAATCCTCAAATTTCAGTATACATTCTGTTGTGAGTGGGTGGGTGGTTGGATGGACTAAATATGTTTGGCTCCTTTGATTAAAATTGTTTAACAAACCACTGCTACAGATAGTTTTAAAAACTAGCCGATTGATTGACAAGTTTAGCCATAATCCATATAAGTACAATCGGTTAAAAGTTTTAGTGTAGATTATAATATGCAGATCATTGTAACAAGGACTGTTCTTAACAAATGAGAAATAATATGCTTGTTCTTCGAAAACACTTTATTTTAACCACAAAACATTATAAAAGTAGGTATAACACAACAAAACGTACTGCTCGTCTAATGTAGGTTTTTACCAGAACAAACCACAAACCGCTATATCGCTGTTTTTTTTATTTAAATATTATTTTTTATACCTACATTTTTGTTACATTAGCTTATTTTCGTAATCAATATTGATAACTTATATTTTATATAAGTATTTAAACATTTTAAACATTATTGTTAATAATTAACAATAGTAAACAATAAACATAATCTATACTGTCGTAATAACTTTTATTTATTCTATCATGATGTCATATTGACATCTTATGTTAAATATTTAATTTCTCTGACTACACAAAGGTTTCTTTACGCCTTTTAGATATGACTTATAACATTGAAATATTGAAAAATAAATACAAAATGTTCAATATTTTAGTTTATATTTATTCATAATCACCAACCTTAATTTTAATTTACAAACTACTGAGTACCTACGTTCAATATACCTATAGAAAATACTTGGAATTAGAAAATCATAAAAAAACGATATTACATAAATGCATTTTATCAATGTTGTGCGTGATTTGATGGAGAGAGAAAGCAAATGTTGCTCTGATATATTCTCTTAATAGTCTTTGTCCTTATTGATATACGTATTGAGTTTAGATAATCTCCCTGTACCTATATACCTATTACCTACCTAGCTATTTTAAACTCTAGCATCAAAATAATAAAGTATAAAAGTCGAGATATAACTTGTTATGTTTGTGAGTGGGAAAGTACATGGCACTTAGCCCATAGTAATAGTTATCATTCAATTTATGATATATTAATTACACTCAAATTCTGAAACCCAAAGTATATTTAGCTCGGACTCATAATATTACTGCAAACCAGAATGAAAAAACATTTTTAAGCGTTGGTATATTTACAATCTACTAATTTGTATTTATTGTTTTAATTTTCCTATTTCCTGCGTGTGTATGCTCGCACCTGTGACCTTTTTTGTTAATGAGTATCTATTCATGAATTAATATAATTTATATGTCAAACATACAGACTACTGACTAGTACAGTGGTTTTCAAACTGTGGGTCGAGGCATACTGGTGCGCAGTGATCATATAGTGACTTATATAAGTGACAATAAGTGTATGGCGGTCTTCTGAAAAATGTCAATATTCGTCCACGAATAAAATTATAAAATGAAAATTAATAAAAACGTGTTCGTCCATCAAGCGCACATATTTTCTAATTCAATGTATATAATTATAATATTTAAAACGATTTTGTTCATCTAATTATTTACTGCAAAAAAAAAAGTCAGTGTGCCTTGAATATGCTGTGAGGAGCACGGTGTGCCGTGTTTAATAAAAGTTTGAAAACCGCAGGACTACTAATATTTAGGTGCACCCTCGTCCGACCATTTTTTATGTAATAAACTTTTATGTAGTTCCTGATTGAAACCCCAGTAATATTATAAGTATACCTACTTATAAATGTATAATATTTATATAGTAGATATTTAATGTGTGCACATTCGTTTCGGTGAAGTTTATTTTCACCAAACATTTAATACGTATTAATTCTCTGAGAATAAGGGACAATATTTAGGCAATATGCAATTTCGTTACTTCCGCCCGCGCCCCCGTGGCATTTGTGTTAATTAGCTTATTTTTCAAGATTTAACTCGTTGAAAAATGAAATATTTTATATGATTATTATTAATATTTTATTTATTTTTGCCTTTTATTGCACATTATTTAAAATCGAACAATAGGTACCCATTTATTAATATCGGCCAATAACAACGCCATGTTATTTAAATAACTTTATATTATAATATAGTACATATACCTAAGTACCTATATCGTTAAATGCATACTGCCTTACATCTTATAAAGGGAATTACTAAGAAAAATCAAAGTAATTACCTATGTCCTATACCAAACTACCTTCATTGTAAATGAAACCGAAAAGTCCCAGAGGAAATAGGTCAGTTTATACTTTTATCACTGGAAACTTTTCTGTGAAATCACTATACAGCCCAAATAAAGTTATTAAGCTTATTAGTTGTTACTCCATTACACTCTTTAAAACATTAACATTACGACTATGAATTTACTGAAAACTGTCATAATATTAAGCTAATATTTTCAGAAGAAATAATAATAAAATAACCGTTATTAAACTATTAAAGTAGTTTTTTATGGCGTGACAAAATATAACTTCAACTTTTATCTAATTTTAATATTTATTACCTACTCGGTTACACTTCCATGAACATTTTATTATATAATAGAACCATAATAGTTGGAGGTTATTCGTGCATCATATTTACAACCTATCTAGTAATATTGGCATGTACGTATAATTATTTTGTATTTTTACCATCTATAAAGAAATTATTTATTGATTTTGATATCATCATCGTTTTATAGTATTCGGAATATTCATCATGAGTATTCCAAAGGTTTTTAGTATACCTACGTGAATAGTGGTTACAATAAAAATTTTTTAGTATTTAATTAGTACCTAATTTTCTAGAAAAATCGATAAAACCTCATGTATAATGTAAGTACAATTATGGCATATAAAGGTTAATATTTTTTTACCTAAAATTGTATTACGCGAAGGTACCTACCACATGAATACAGTGAATACAGACCTACAGTAATAATTGAGCACATCTCAGTGTTTAGTGTTTGTCATGGAATTTCGTGTTATTAAAAATTACTACCTACATGGTTTGTTGAATTTAACTCTTAAGATAGATAAAAGGTTAAGACAAATAGCTATCCAGTTCTAGCAGAGCACCCATTAAGAACGGTCTCGACATCTATGTATTGTTTGTATAATTGTATCTATGTTTCTTTGACTCGATGAAATAATTTTGACAAAATAATATATATTAATAACTTATTTATTGTTTATAAAAAATGTATATAAATCAGCTGATTTATTTATATCTTCTGCTATGAATTATGTGTCGTGTGGGTCACTGTAAATTGTAATGGATGTATTAAATTTTAATTCAATGATATTATCGAAAGTTATTTTTAATCTTCCCCCCCCCCCCACACACACACAAATTGAAAATACGCCACTGAATAGGAATCTGGTTGGAACTGGATTAATGTTTTTGAAGGGAAACGTTTTTTAAAGATAAGTTTTGCGGTTTCATTGATTGAATCAATTTTGGGAATTCGTTTGAGAAAAACTAGGCAGATCCGGTAATTCAGCTAAGTAGATTTCGAGACAGGCTTAAATGGTTCTCTTATTAGAGTTCTTGGCAGAACCCTATAGAAGTATGCAATGTTATACGTCTATAATCGTTGTATGAGTGCTTTACATGAAATAAGTTTAAGGTATAATGTTGAATTTTAACTTAGAAGTGGGTTTAACAAGTGAAGTCTGCAGTTAAACTTTTTGCTCTTAAGATTCTTAAGATGCGAGGATCATGTAAAGCTTGTGCCGAGTATTAGGCCCTGCATCCGAGGGTATCCCCACAGACCCAGCTGATAGGTTGGAAGTAATGAGCGATGCTGATGAAACTTTCCACATCTTCTATAACATGGTGGAGAATATCATGTCTCTCGAGGAGCAGGAATAGAGGGCAAGGCAGGTGGGAGCACGAGACTTCTAGACCGACGGCAGTGAAGCCGGGTCGAGAAGTCTCAGGAGCCACAGCTAAAGCCGTCGAGCATCCTTTTCTGAATATGAGCCTTCCGAGCACTGCCAGTGGACATAATATACTACGATTATTACTACCATACACTAAGGAAAGTCTAACAGGGAGCGGGGGCACATCTCGGGATGATATTATTGTAATCAACAAGTTTTATTTGCAATAATAAACAATGGGGCCGGAGGAGAAGCAATGTCAACAGCAGTTGCTCATCTGGCTCTCGATATAACCCGTAAAAAAAAAGATACCAGTGTGATGTGACAAAAAGACCTCCCTCTCACCATTATTGCCTTGTGCAATATCTCAATCATTTGTTTTATTTTTATACGATGTATCATAATACTAATAACAATAACAATAACATTAAAATTAAAAAATGTACCCATACTTAAACTGACAGATGCCGATTGAATAAATTATTGAATTCGTTAAGGGGGTAAGTAGGTAGGTATTAAATCTAAATCAACATTTTAAGTCATAATATATTGTTCAGTAAATAGTAGAATTTATCCTTAAACATTGATTCAAAACGGTTTTAGATACACGCGAATGTAAAATATTTTACCCTTACATATACGTTACGTCGTTACATTATTACTATACCGAGCTATGTATTATTATAACACCGAATAATTTTATTTTTTCTATCAAATATTTTAGAAAAATTAGTATTTTATTTAGTAACAACCGATAAAGTACTGGTCCCTGACAGGGATTAACTTTTAGGTCACCTATTATTTTAAAATGTCAGGAAGTGTCCAGGTATTCCAGGCACCACTAGTCTCAATATGTCGATGCCTACAACTACTCTCGAAAAGTCACGTGCCCGCGACCTAACGCAATTCACGATAATTTATAATATATAATTTTATTACAACGACGGGTTTATAGTTGGTATTTCGAAATATTTCGAAGCGGACTCTTGATATTGTGATCATCAATACTTACTGAATTAACATAGCATTATAATTTGTTTTACAGTACCTGTACATGTATTATGTACCCATGCAAACAACCAACGGTTATTCATTACAACGGTGGCCGAGTAGGTAAGATTAGGTGATTAAATTATTGCAAGTAATAATAGGGAGGCTGCAACCCTCGTATATCGTATATTATTCTTAATAATAAGGCAGGGGGATTATTATTGTACAGTAGTTATTGTTCGGATAAATGTAAGTGTTAGTGTTTTTGAAAATATTTTTTTCATACATATTATACAGAAGTTGCAGTCACAACACAACATTTTAGAAAACTTTTTATTTTTCTGAGACGTAATTTTTTTCTCAAAGAAAATTACTGTTGAATGATTAAATTCCCAGTGTTTCACATTGTATACAATAAGAGTTGCCAAAAAACGATTACACTGAAACTCCTTAGATCATATTATACAATGGATAGAGCCATGACCTATAGATTACATATTATAACATCGATGATGTACACGTTGGCGACGAGTCTCCGCCACTCGCGGTTATGATGGCCTCTACTGCGCATGCTCCTGAATTAGTCGCACCTATATATTATATATATAGGCGCATATTGTGCAGGTGATCTAGCGCAGGCGCAGTAGAGGCCATCATAACCGAGAGTGGCGGTGATTCGTCGCTAACATGTACATCAAAATATTGAGTTGTGGCTCCATCCACAGTATCATATGATATAAGACTAACACAAAAACTAATAGCATATATTCGGATTATAAGTCATATACAAGTTTATATTATAGTCTGTCTCACGAGAGAACGAGACCGGCGGCCGACCAAAACTCGTTCGTCGCCGAGCATCCCCCACCAACTTTTCGTTGTAAGCGTGATCACGTGGTTATCCACTCACCAATCAAATCAGTCTACGTGCTCGAAACGGTCCCGTTCTGTCGTGAGACAGACTTAGGTATAAGACTATAAATCGTATCTTATTTTATCTTTTAGAGTAAGAAAATCAATGTTCTTGTTACTTATTGACAAACTATTTATAATTATATAAAAATGTTATGACCCGGAGAATAATTCACTGAACCCATAGCCCGTAGATTAATATGTAAACCCGGATTATCCGTGGAATTCCGTTAAGGTGGCAACCCTATATACATTATATTGTTATTATATTAGGGGAGGGGACAGTGGCGTGTAACAGAGAGTCTAAGTGTTGCTCGGGCAACACATTAAATAAGGGTGGGTGGGTGTTTATAGATGAAAAAATAGGTAATTTTATAGGCCTGTATAACATTATTATGAGGGGTAGGTCACCTAAAATTATTTGAGCAACATCAATTATTTTATGATACACGCCACTGGGAGGGGAGGTACCTAATACAAAAAAAACGTAGACGGAAGGCAGACGGCTACACAAAATCATGTTTAAAATAAATATACTTAAAGTAGTAATTTCTATATTATTAGGTATAATTATTGTGATGTACATTTAAAACAAAACTTTCTCACTCAAATAGCATGGAGCTATTTAAATTCAAACTTGTCGAGAAACCAAATTTCTTAATATAATATTTACATTTTATAGGCGGTTAGCCGTTAGGTAGTCATGGCTAATTCTACTATTGAATCTAAAGTTTCAGAAGACCCGACAACCGATGTTTAAAACTCATTTAATTGAAAAATAAAAATAAACCTAAAAAACTTTAAAACAAAGTTTGAATATACAAATGAAATCATCACTTAATTCAATTATTGGACCAATGAACATTCCAATTAAAGAGGAGTGCTTAAAATAAATATGTACTGTACCAAAAAACAACACCAATAATAATAATGCCCATTAATAACGCTTTTAATCACACGATCTTTGTACAAATTTCAAAATGCAATCGGTAACATATAAAAATAAATCAACAATTTAAAAATGTATCCATATTATATACGACTATAATATTATAGGTTAGGTACTTACCTAATATTACAAAATTGAAAATATTACACAAATATAAATTATTTAGAAGACATCAACGATGACTGTGTTATAAGAACATATTATATACTATATTAAATAATGATAGCCTTGACAGACAATAACATTACATAGGTACCATTACGTAGGTTTAAAATATTATATTTAAATTGTTGTTCTTATAAAAACATACTACTATAGATGCATTGAACGATTTAACGTTTTGAAAAAACACATTAATCCTATACTTCTCATGTGTCTATTAGCTTGTCTGATCTATGAGTGGTTTCATATTTTATTCTAGAAAAATTGAAAGTAATTTTTCTCGTGAGATACAACTGATATTCGTCTATGAATCACTATAACCACTCTCGTAAAAAGTTTGAACAGATCGTAAGAGTGTTTAGAAATACAAATTAGGTTAACGACCGAATTTATATAAATCTATTGCAGGCGGAGATGGTCATAGAAAGTTGATTTGAAATTGTATTTTATAGTTTAGTTTATTCTACAGGCTCTTGAATGAAACTAAGCACGACTGACGTCCTTATTAGTTTGTAAAATAATAAAAAGGTATGTTCATATTTAAATTTGTTAGTTTGTACTTTATTGTGAAACATTTTTGTATATACCAAGGAAATATGTAGAAAATTATATTAGATGTATATGTTTATTTTCATTTCTCATGTTTCATAAACACAATATTTAACCTGCAGTTTTAAATTTATAAGGGTGTGCTTATGCCTGTAGAAACTTATTGACTAGTTATTGTTAATAATTTTCGATTCAGTATCAACAATTGGCAACAATTGTATTTAAAACACAATTCCAGTTGATAATAATTAATCTACTAATGTTAAAAGTTAAATGTTAAATAATTCAAATTAAATACTATTAATAAATACAAATTAATTTTTTTTCATTTAAAAATATATATAAAACAAGATATACAGGGTCTTCTAAATTTCGTGTGACAAAAATGGTGGGAATTACACTGGTTCTTACGGCACAGATCTGTCTTTTGTCACACGAAATTTGGAACACCCTGTATAGTTTATTACATTTTGTAATTTGTTTATTACGCATTTACCCTCTAGACATTGCAGAAAAATATAGGTAAAGTGTAGCTGGAATAAAAAATATGTCATAATTATTATTAAACGCGTAGGTATATTATAAATATATTTATTCAAATATATACGTGGTGTTATATATTTATTGTGCGATATTGAAAGTTTGAATAAACAAAAAGCATATAAATAACATACCGTATACATCATACATATATTTTTTTATACTGTTTATATAATGATGTTTATATTATTTATATAATCCTCTACCACTCAAAAACCAGATAGATAGGTACTAAAGAGATATTGAAAAAGATATTAAACATAACTTTAATTAAAGTCTAAACTCACTGAATATAATATAGTGTGGGTGCTTATATTTCAAAATAAATATATTACGGTCAACAAACCTATAGCTGGTACCTACCTAATAGATATTATTAAAATACGAACAAGAAAAGTAACTTTGTTTATAGAGGTATAAACAATATGAAGTCACTTGAGTGTTTTTCCTAGGTTATTGTGTTTGTCTATAATATTTTCTATTATTTTTAAAATGACCGTGTCTCCATTGATTAAGTTAAAAAATATATAATTTTAGAGATGGGTTTGAAATAATTATAAACGATATAATATGTAACAATAATGTGAGGTGCAAGGCTTAGATAATTTAATTAAAGAATAAGACCTCCGTGAACCTGGCACACCTATACATGTACCTATAGCTGTAATGTATTTATGTATAAAAATCTCATGACAAAAGTTATCAAATAACTACCTATAACCTTCTAACAAACACAGAAAATAAATTTTTGAAGTTAGCAAATCGATCTATTATACTTTAAAAAATTGTATTACCTATAGGCAATAGGCTATATAAGTACCTATTTAATTTTGAAAAACATAATGAAAATATTAAAATGAATAACAATGACTAGTCGTAATACATTACGTTTTTCACTACTTACCATAATAATATATTAAAATGTAAATACTTATGTGTATATTTATTTTTTATACGAAATGAAAATTATTATTACCTATTATTTTGGGTTTTGTGTTACTATACTTTTGTTACTTTGCTATTATTACTTTCTCTATATTTTAATTTTCACTAGTTTTACTTCGCAATAATAACTTTTTCAAGATTCCAAGATTAATACTTAAAAATATATAATTTATAAATATATTC